CGTCGGATTCGAAATGTATAAAAGAGGATACAAGCTTTTTTCTGAGCTGATATTTAACATGTTATTATTGATTTGTTCGATTTAATGAACCGTGACCACTGGAGAAAGAGAAAAGAACATTCAGGCCCCGTACACCGGTCCCAACGATGCACGGTTAAAGTGGCTCACATCAGATTTTTTTGTAAGTTTAATGTCGGGCCAAAACATTCATGAAAGTATTGTGATGGATGCCAAAATAATATTACGCATCATGTTATAACAAAATGGCTTTCCTCAAATTGCATTTCATGTAATCTGTTTATTCCCAGAATATATAACGGCTTGGAGACAACGCGCCGGAAGCAGGCCAGATTTCTGGAGGCAATGTTTCACAAGAGCACTTGAAGAGGGTTTGTTTCAACAATCATTGCCATGGCGTCACTTGATAAAAGATTGCCTAAATGTACATAAAGGCCCCTATATCATCACCAGACGTTGTAATCAAGGTTAGTTTCTATCACATCAAAAATGGACGAAACTGCAAGTAAAGATTTAAATGAATAATATTCCAGATTGTTTGGAATTCTACTTCGGTCACCAGAGGTGCATTGGTAGGAGAAATAAACCCACCAGTGGTGGATTTTGGCTACAACGCCAATGCAATTACGGTCCTGCGAGAGTGTGTAAGATTCCTAAATTTTACTATAAAGATAAAGCTCCATTCCAAATTAGGCAAAGTATTGCAAATAAACAACTATTTTCGATCTGTATCTCTCCACTCTGTTTTCTCTTTAAGAGACTGCCTTAGCGAATATTTGCCACTTGTGCAACACTGCTAAGCATTTCAGCATAACCGAAACTTATGCTGGGTTATATACAAGCGACAAATCTTTTCAATACCTCGTATTGTTGCATTGACTCTCATCAGTCTCAGAAGAATGCACTAAATAGGAGAAGTCATTATTTTCTTGAATTGCGTACGACCTTAGCCTTGTTGCAAAACATTCATTCATTATTTTCTGTTAGATTTATTAAAAAAATGAACATGGAAGGACTTGCAGCCCACAGTCCCCCTCTATCTTGGCATTTGTAAGCGTCAGGAAGCTGTCATTCGCCCATCTTCTTAATGAAGTTTTATAAAATTTGTAACATCATTTAAGCGGAATCACTCAGACAATGAAGGGAAATGAGAAATGTTCCAAAAATATGAATGCGCTAAAAAATCTGATTGAAGCACCCCAGAGGATATTTTCTGCTATTTACTGTTATTGTTTGCTATATATTTTATACTAAAAATGACACCATATTTGATAACTATGGTAGCTGTGTTGTTTGTATATGTACGTGATTATTCTTATGTCATTATTTGTTGTTATTCATATTAGTTAATGTTTGCTATATGTTGTGAACAGTAAGATTCGACAAATCTGGTAGCTATGTCGTATATGTACATAATTATACTTATTTGATTATTATGTAGAGACACACAAACATTCAACATATAGTTTTCACCATATAGGCGACACAATAACATTTGATTCGAACAACTGAAAAAAAAGTTTCACAATAAACTGAGCATAGAACGCTAGGACATGTAATCTAGTGAACAAGGTTTATCAAGCGAACAGAGGTACCGTATTATGACCTAAATATTCATACTCTTTCGACTATGGACCTTTCCCCGACATCAAAACATCCGTATTTTCAACCAATCACAAGCGAGCAGATGTAAACAAACATTCTCCGCTGAAAAGTCGCTCAGACAACTTTGGACGCGTTCCGCACATGTTGCTGACGGTTTAGGGAGATCTTTGTCCTTTTTTTCGCTTTTTGTTTTCTTCACAGGGCTGCGAGAATTAGAAAGCGGTAATACTGTATGTTACTTGTTGCAAATCACGTTCACAAAATCTATATATCGATACTAAAAGGATGTACCCGTTGCAGGCACCTTACAGGTACGCTACCGTACAGGTCAACCAACTTCTATTTCGAACCAAAAAATAGTAGACAGTTATGCTGATGCAATCAAGGGTACCGGTAGCCTACCGTATGTCCATACGAAAGAATTCGCCTTCGATCGATGTTGCATTTTTATTAAACAGAATCTACTAGTGAATTATTTTGGTAGACTAACTCTTTGGATATGGTATTTGCCGGTCTGACAACCGGTACCGGTACGGTACCCCTGCCGTTCAAATGGAGTAAGATTTGTGCTATTTCCGAAGCTACATATTGACCGCTTAAAAGCAATGAGGTGGATGAAGGAATGCAACAGGCCTCACAGTCCATTCAATCTAGGAAAAATCACCAGAAATGCATACGTGTGTATCAAGGTAGGCCAACATTAATGTTGTTTTCGATACCTATGATATATTCAATATGTTAATTCTTATATGAAATAAATTTTCATACAAGCAATGCGTTCCATCATGCATTTTCATGGAGGCGATGGACCAACTGATGAATACCCTGACACTATATCAGATTCTTATTGCCCAACAAAAAGGCACCAACAAATTGTGAGGTAAGGATTACTTATACCATAATTCAACTTTGCAATTTGATACAGAGACGTGCGAATCTGACGAAAGTGAGAAAGGATTGTCAGGGATCCAACCAGATCTGCCCCCAGACTCTTTAGTTGAAACTACCTCAAGTGCCACTGAAGAAAATGACAGCGCTTTGTCAGACAGCAGAAAATTGTAAGCAAGCATCATCATCATTTTAATATGGTTCTCTGGCATAAAACAACACAAAAAGTCAAAATGCAGAGAAAACTGGAAGTCGAGCATAACTTAAAATAGATTTCAAAAAGTACGCGGCTACCTACTAGAAAAAGAAATAATAATAAAAAAAGGGCACTGAAGAATTAACAAGAATCAGAATCGGGCAACACTTTTAACATAATTCGAAATGAGAAAACACATACTTCTTCCAGCATTGGTGTCATATTTGCTAACTGTAAAAATGATGAATAAAAGAAGGAAAATTAATATTGGATAGGATAGGATTCACATTTTAATCCCGGGGGGTGAGGAAAGCCGATAAGACGGCTTATCCATATGGCGAACCACGGCCTCTCGTCCGGTTACCATTCCAAGTCAGGTATGGGATTAGTTATAGTTTGTTTTCGGAAGCATGGACTTGGTGGTGGAGGAAGCCGTAACCGACCAGCGGTTACGTGAACCACCCAACGACGGCGAGGAGTCCAGCAATCCTCTCGCACATAACCATCCCTGCATGGGATTCGAACCTGCGAACCCGTTTTTAGCTCTTGTTTACAATTGTGTGTGTAAATGTGTTCGTGGATGTTGCAGTCTTTCGGAGGCAACCGGGAAATGTTCAGGTCACTGATCGACAGAATCTTTTTACTGGATGCGTGACACAATTATATTATACGTAATTATATATGTTTTTATTTTGCAGGTAATTATGTTTTTCGCCAAAACTGGGGAAGAACAAAGACATAAATTGGCTTTGACAAAATATATTTTGTCACTGCACTATTTGACTCAGGGCCTTAGTATCAAAGCGTTTTTAATATTATTTCTTACCTTTTAGAGTTCTTTAGTATAACGTGATTACTGAAATAGCTAAAAATGAAAAGGGCAAAGTGGTTTTGTATGATGAAATTGAGGCACTGGTAGCTGGAGTTGCCCAACACCGTCAACAAGTGTTTGGGGCTTCGGCGCTTACTCCGAGAGTGTCACGACACAAACAAAGGAGCAGTGTGGAAAAATATTTCAAACAAGGTATGTACGAAGTATGGAAGTTTATGAAAACTACAGAATGCTATAAGTTTATTTTTGATAGGTTTACTGGTGGGATAGCACTTGTTATCATTTATCGAAGCTTGATAGAAAAAGATTAGCATGAACTTGTTTTAAAGTAGTCCTAAAATTAATAATTTACACTATGAAAAAATTCAATCAATTTAGAATATTCCCAGTACCAGTACTTTCAAAATGATTTGCGGTTAAGGCGCTGACTTCCTAGCTAGAGTTTTAAAGTTCATTAAACGTACTTTGACTTTGTTGCCTAGAAATTCACGTCACTAAATCGTCACAGACAACGAAACCGCCAGTCTGATTATGTTACTGAATTAGCTAAGGGTTAGTCAATTTTAAGGCAAAAATAATTTTTTTTTTTTTTACAGAGTACCCGACTCAGAACTCTAAAAATTGGACCATTTAAAATCTACTCTCCTAAAAAAATTTGCATATGACTCACTCACGACACCAGGTTGATGGAAATTTTGACTCCAGCATAAAAACCTCATTTGTCTATAGAGAATTTTCGGTCAACATGATACATAAACTGCGGTCTCGATTCCTTCGCTCTGACTCAATAGCGTCACCATCACTTATCGTGTCTCCATCACTTATTTTCCAATAACTCGCTAACTATACGAAACAATTCATTCAAAATCACTGGGCTTCTGGTCCGAGATATGGTGGATACAAATGCAAAATTTGGAGCATATTCAGCCTTGCTTTCGTGAGTACGAAAGTATCTAACAGACAAATACCTATCAACATACTTACCGATCGAGATCGATAAGTAATAATTGCAACTTATATAGAATATATATGTATATCATGCAGCTATTGACATAATACACTCAGATAGTGAGGGTTCGCGACGATCGGATGACACTCACTGTGAAGTAAAAAGACATAGACTGACACCTAAAGAAAACAGTTTCCTGAAAAAGTAATTTTGCTTTCAGTTACTTATAAGTATTATTTTCATCAAGTAAAAAATTAATAATTTGAAGAGTTTTTTTTACCATTGCCAACAAAGAGTATTATTTTTAGTATGGTATTGTGGGTGAAGCAAGCACTTGCATGATATGAAAAAGACAACAACGTCTTTCAATTCCAAGATGACAATCCTCAAAAAGTATCTATGTGGTAAAACTCCTGTACAATGGTAAGTTTTCTTAAATCCCGCTGTTTTCATAATCAATGCTGTGATCTGTCGACAAGGTGTGCTTGTAAAGGTTCAAATTTCAAAAATACTTAATCCAATTTGAGTTCCGTACCATAGCTGACAAATTCAGGTACTGAGAGCGTTGATAGCTCTTCAAGCTAATGATTGACCTATTCTGAGTATAAGATTAAAAAAATATAGTTTAAACATGTCGCAATGCGCCAGTTATTCTCATAGATAGGATGGATTAGGTCGCGTTTGGGCATTTTACGTACTCTTTAACTTTTCGAAGAGAGATTGCATGTTGGGATATGTTTGAAATTTTTATAACAAATTGTGTAATTGTATACTTCTTGCTGCCCGGTTTTATTTACATCGTTGTAAGATACAGAAAAAGAAACAACGGTTCAATGTTTTTACCACATATCTGTGGTAGACTACTAACTTGTTTTTAGCTAATACCTTCTGATATCAGGGCCACGAGTTGGTGATGTGAATATTCATGATGATTTATGTTTATTTTGATAAATACTTTATTTCAAATATATCTTTCAATTTCAAGTAATTGAATAATTAAAAAGAGCACACCAGTTTGTGCTGCGCACGAAACATGCATCTACGCCAAGAAAACAAAGCGCCAGAACCACCGACTATTGACATACTGATTTAATAAACTCTGGATCTGTGAAAACCTTGAATGTTTGTTTTTTTCACGAATGTAAGTTAACATAGGGTAGAAACTGTTTCACTACACAAGAAATATCTGAAATATAAAATAGAATGTTTTTAACTAACTGACATTCATTTGCCTTCATAGTGGTACTAATTATGCAAATTTTTTTTTGAACAGTTCAGATATTCTGCAATTAAATAATATTTCCGAACATAAAGCCAACTATTCAACCATTTTCCATCAATAAATATAATATTTTCTTGCAGAGATGTTCCGCCTACATCTCCTGTCACTGAGTTACCATTTGTCACTGAGTTATCATCTGTCACTGAGTTACCATCTGTCACTGAGTTATCATGTGTCACTGAGTTACCATCTGTCACTGAGTTACCATTTGTCACTGAGTTACCATTTGTCACTGAGTTATCATCTGTCACTGAGTTATCATCTGTCACTGAGTTACCATTTGTCACTGAGTTATCATCTGTCACTGAGTTACCATTTGTCACTGAGTTATCATCTGTCACTGAGTTATCATCTGTTACTGAGTTATCATCTGTCACTGAGTTATCATTTGTTACTGAGTTATCATCTGTCACTGAGTTATCATCTGTTACTGAGTTACCATCTGTCACTGAGTTACCATCTGTCACTGAGTTATCATTTGTCACTGAGTTATCATCTGTCACTGAGTTATCATCTGTCACTGAGTTACCATTTGTCACTGAGTTATCATCTGTCACTGAGTTATCATCTGTCACTGAGTTACCATCTGTCACTGAGTTATCATTTGTCACTGAGTTACCATTTGTCACTGAGTTATCATCTGTCACTGAGTTATCATCTGTCACTGAGTTATCATCTGTCACTGAGTTATCATTTGTCACTGAGTTACCATTTGTCACTGAGTTATCATCTGTCACTGAGTTATCATCTGTCACTGAGTTACCATTTGTCACTGAGTTATCATCTGTCACTGAGTTATCATCTGTCACTGAGTTATCATTTGTCACTGAGTTACCATTTGTCACTGAGTTATCATCTGTCACTGAGTTATCATCTGTCACTGAGTTACCATTTGTCACTGAGTTATCATCTGTCACTGAGTTATCATCTGTTACTGAGTTATCATCTGTCACTGAGTTATCATCTGTCACTGAGTTATCATCTGTTACTGAGTTATCATCTGTCACTGAGTTACCATCTGTCACTGAGTTACCATTTGTCACTGAGTTATCATCTGTCACTGAGTTATCATCTGTCACTGAGTTACCATTTGTCACTGAGTTATCATCTGTCACTGAGTTATCATCTGTCACTGAGTTATCATCTGTCACTGAGTTATCATTTGTTACTGAGTTATCATCTGTCACTGAGTTATCATCTGTTACTGAGTTACCATCTGTCACTGAGTTATCATCTGTCACTGAGTTATCATCTGTCACTGAGTTACCCTTTGTCACTGAGTTATCATCTGTCACTGAGTTATCATCTGTTACTGAGTTATCATCTGTCACTGAGTTATCATTTGTTACTGAGTTATCATCTGTCACTGAGTTATCATCTGTTACTGAGTTACCATCTGTCACTGAGTTACCATTTGTCACTGAGTTATCATCTGTCACCGAGTTATCATCTGTCACTGAGTTACCATCTTTTACTGAGTTACCATCTGTTACTGGGTTACTTGAAGGTTAGTCAGTTTTATAGCACGAATTTTTGTTTTTTACAAGCAGAGTACCCGACTCAAAACTCTAAATTCTGGATCATTTAAAATCTACTCTCCTAAAAAAATTTCACTCACGACTCCAAGTTGATGGAAATTTCGACTCCAGAATAAACAACAAAACCTCATTTGTTTACGGAGAATTTTTCGTCAACATGAGACTTCACAGATTTCCACTTCACTAAATCTCTCGACACGAAGCGTTCGACATCTGCGCCTAATTCCATGCTAAGGAACTTAATTGCAACTTATTTAGAATATATATACATTTCATTCAGCTATCGATATAATACACTCAGATAGTGAGGGTTCGCGACGATCGGATGACACTTAATGTGAAGTAAAAAGACAGACTGACACCTAAAGGAAACAGTTACCTGAAAAAGTAATTTTGCTTTCAGTTACTTATAAGTATTATTTTCATCAAGTAAAAAATTAATAATTTGAGTTTTCACCATTGCCAGCAAACATAGTATTATTTTTCGTATGGTATTGTGGATAAATGAAGCACTTGCATGATATGAAAAAGACAACAATGTCTTTCAATTCCAAGATGACAACCCTAAAAAAGTATCTACGTGGTACTTCCTGTAGGGTGGTAAGTTTTTCCAAATCCCACTGTTTCCATAATGCTGTGATCTGTCGACAAGGTGTTCTTGTAATGGTTCAAATTTCAAAAATACTTAACCCGATTTGAGTATTCGTACCATAGCTGACAAATTCAGGTACTGAAAGCGTTGATAGCTCTTCAAGCTAATGATTGACCTATTCTAAGTGTAAGATCAAAAAAATATAGTTTAAACTAGAGATGTACCGATGTATCGGTATCGGTTAGATTAAGGCCGATATTACCGATATATTTACCTTTTTAATATGGTCCAGAATGTTTTAAAAGATAAGTTGGAATACTACCTTTTAATTTATTTTTGTCTAGAGAGATCGTGAGCTATGAGCCAAACATGTCCCCACCCCCGCGAAAGAATAGGATTCACGTGTTTTTAGCTATTTATCAGCTAAACTAGCTCAACTAATTTGGCTATTTTCGCTGTCAATTTTTTATATTGACATTTTTAATATTACATAGTTTTTATGAAGAAATATATCAACACAGCACATAACAAAAGCAACTAGGCGCCCAGTTTTAAATCATACAGTGGAATTGGGGTCCTTCCTTATTAACGGCGCATGGACTTTTGGCACGGGTATAAATTCTGTCTGTTTGTCGTCAAGTACGAGTGTCATTTAGTCCGTCGACATCGATAAACTAAATTCCGACACAATTATCCCACTACACAGGTATTAATTTTAATTCTGCTTAACTACACGATTTCTTTATAGATATATTGACTTGACCGCCTAGCCCTAGACTGTCTCAAATATATGATAACAATTGTAAAATATTATAAAATAGTGAAGTAAAAAAACATCCTCAACGGTTATCGGTGGGCCTTCTTTTTTGTCGGTGCTGATTGATATTCTTTCATGTTGGCTTTGACTTATTGCGTCGACGATTACGATTAGCCACTAAATTAAATATTTGTAAAATGCTTTTAATTTGAACGTAGGACGGCGGCGCTAGAATGTGTGGGTGATATTCGATATTCTTTTAAACACGAATAACGATATTCGAAGCTCGCGATATTAACATTAAATTCAAATTGGACAACCCGGTTTATGAGTTTTCTAATTGAACACCGAGATTACTAGCGTTACTGTACAATGTATCTCAATCAGTTACAGCATATGGATACCAAACATTAATTTCATATTATGTGATATATATATCTTTTTTTTCGATCTGAAATAATGTGTACTATGAACAACGCTTAAAGACCATTGTTTTAACCCGTCTGCCCTACACAGCATACCTAATTAAGTAATAATTACATAGTATCGGTAATATCGACCTTTTTGTAGTATCGGTATCGGCGTTTTTAGCTGGTATCGGCGACAAAAGTGGTATCGGTACATCTCTAGTTTAAACATGTCGCAATCAGAGATGTACCGATACCAGTTTTGTCGCCCATACCGATCCGATACCAACTGAAAACGCCGATATTACAAAGCGGCCGATATTCCGATACTATGTAAATAGTGCCTCATGTGTGCAGGGCAGAAGGGTTAAAACACTGCTCCGCGACGCATTTCCAGGGGGTCCGCGAATAAATTAAGATTTTAGGAAATTATTTGCAGTTTAATATCGTTTTTTTTTTGTAATACGATCGAACATTTGCTGCCTATGACAATAGCCTACAAAAACTATTTTGATTTATCTCCCGTAGACCTATTGTGACAAATACGAGTTATGACAATGATAAATACGAGAACGCAGCTACAGTGATCACTTTCTCAGTTTTGGTGCGCCATTTGCCGTCGCACCCAAAAGTATCGATGGAACATGGAAGCATTACGTGTTATTGTTCTATTCGCCTCCACATACCCTTGTGAAAGTGAATTTTCTGCTCTCGTTCATATCAAATCCAAGGCTCGTAACCAACTAAACGTCGAAGACGATATGCGTCTATTGTTATCAAGAACACGACCACGTATTTCAAGACATGCTTATGTTATGCAACACCATTAAGTGCATTCGATTTAACAGAATAAATGAAAATGTCCACTAGTTTAGTGTTATTTTTGACTTGGTCAAATATGTATGGAACATTAGGTTGTTGTTTGAGCTATAAACTAAATTTTAAATAAAAAACTTTTGAGGGGTCCGCGACCGCTTTGAGAGCATCAGAAGGGCCCGCAAAGACAAAAAGGTTGAGAACCACTGTTCTATAGTCTTTCGGGCTGCAGTGAACAACCAGTACAAATTATCAAAAGAAAATTGGATCTTTGCTAGTACCATCTACAGTTGACATTTTATTGCAAAAGACAAAAGGAGGAATTTTAAAAATAACCATATTTGGGACCAGAATGGAGTCACATTGATGTGAAGTCATCTCTATCAGTTCTGAAAGACTAGATAAATATATCTTCGGGCTGTAGCGGACAACCAGTACCAGGTTAGTGTTTTTTCTTTTAATTCTTACCAGTATAAGTTTTTATTTCAATCACATGTATGGTTTGGCCAGAGCTACAATTTTAAATTATTTGGCTTGCTGCCGGATGTCAGATACAAAAGTGTAAAGATGTCATATAGCTTCCACGATGCCACAGTACATCTATAGGAAATCGCAATGTCTCCAAAGGTAAGAAATGTTGAGCATTACAAATTCTTAAGTGTTTGAATCTTACTAAATATACAATTCTGATTCACGTTCATATAACCATCAATAGAGATTCGTTGGTGATAGTTACACCTTGACTACTAAGTGCATTCTCTGGGTCTGGCCCTACACACGAACAAGAGGTGTAACGAACACAAACAGTGAGATAATTACCGTACTTCCGACAGGTACTTCTTAGATGCCTAAATAGGACTGTTGAGGTATTTTCGCAGGTACCGGTATTTATGACTGTGGCTTGAGAGAAGGAAAAGAAAATTAGTTACTTCCGAGAACAACTAGCAAAAATTGGTCAATAAAGCAGCCAAAGCACTCAGAAATGTGCGGCTGGAGAAAAAATATTTAGATACTTTCAAGGCCAACTCGGCTAGCAAAAATCGAACAATAAAGCACTCATAAAATATGAGACGGAAGAAGAAAAAAAATTAGATACTTCCTAGGCCAACTCAGCTGGCAAAATCGATCAATGAAGCAGCCAAAGCACTCAAAAATGTGTTGCGGGAGAGGAAATAATTAGATACTACCGGGGCCAACTCAGCTAGCAAAAATCGATCAATAAAGCAGCCAAAGCACTCAAAAATGTGTTGCGGGAGAGGAAATAATTAGATACTTCCCAGGTCAACTCGACTGGCAAAAATTGATCAACAAAGCAGCTAAAGCACTCATTAAAGGGGGCCACGGAAGAAGAAAAATTTAGATACTTCCGTGGCCAACTCAGCTATCAAAATCGATCAATAAAACAGCCAAATCACTCAAAAATGTGTTGCGGGAGAAGAAAAAATTTAGATACTTCCGAGGCCAACTCGGCTTGCAAAATCGATCAATAAAGCAGTCAAAGCACTCAAAAAAAATGTTCGACGGGAGAAGAAAAATAATTAAGATACTTCGGAGGCCAACTCGGCTGGCAAAAATCGATCAACAAAGCAGTCAAAGCACTCAAAAAATATGCGACGGGAGAAAAAATAATTAGATACTTCCGAGGCCAACTCGACTGGCAAAAATCGATCAATAAAGCAGTTAAAGCACTCAAAAATGTGTTGCGGGAGAGGAAATATTTAGATACTTCCGAGGCCAACTCAGCTAGCAAAATCGACCAATATAGCAGCCCAAGCACTCAAAAATGTGCGACGGGAGAAGAAATATTTAGATACTTTCAAGGCCAACTCGGCTAGCAAAAATCGAACAATAAAGCAGCCAAAGCACTCATAAAATATGAGACGGAAGAAGAAGAAAAAATTAGATACTTTCTAGGCCAACTCAGCTAGCAAAATCGATCAATAAAATAGCAAACGCACTCAAAAATATGCGACGGGAGAGGAAAAGAAATTAGATACTACCGGGGCCAACTCGGCTGGCAAAAATCGATCAATAAAGCAGCCAAAGCACTCAAAAATGTGTTGCTGGAGAGGAAATAATTAGATACTTCCGAGGCCAACTCGGCTGGCAAAAATTGATCAATAAAGAAGCCAAAGTACTTATTAAAGGGGGCCACGGAAGAAGAAAAATAATTAAGATACTTCGGAGGCCAACTCGGCTGGCAAAAATCGATCAACAAAGCAGTCAAAGCACTCAAAAAATATGCGACGGGAGAAAAAATAATTAGATACTTCCGAGGCCAACTCGATCAATAAAGCAGCTAAAGCACTCAAAAATGTGTTGCGGGAGAGGAAATATTTAGATACTTCCGAGGCCAACTCGATCAATAAAGCAGCTGAAGCACTCAAAAA